ACACAGAGTAACTACAGCCCAGATGTTCAACTTTTATAGTGAAGTTAATATTTTAATGAATGTATTATTTTTGCTTGATACAGAGAGAGAATAGTAGGTACAAATATTAGAGTGGGGTTTAACTCTGCACTATTCTATATCTTCAAAAGAAAATACTGTATTTACCTTCTGTCTTACTCGTTCAAATGAAACCGTTTTCAAAGTGGAAAAAAGTCCTAATTCCACATTCATCAGAGCCGCTGATACTTCAAACATTGATAAACAGCATCTAATGAGTGTAGAGCATATAACATTTTTATTAATGGAGCAAAATGTTGCTTTTCTCTTTTAACAATGAATTCCTCTTATCAGTACGGATGCTCACATTGAGCATAAAAAAGGGCATGCATATTGCATAGCACCAATGACACCAGACCAATAGTGTCCCTACCAAAGTTCAAATCAAACCTACGCCCTTGGTGTGTATATATGTCATAGTTTCACTTCAGTTTAAATAGTTTTGGCCCTGAATATGTGTAATCTCACATATTAGCTGCATAAAGACACCTGTCCACCCCACACAATCAGTAAGACTCCTAACTTCTAACATGGTAAGACCAAAGACACCAGACACTAAATTATAGACCTCCACAAGGAAAAAGAAATGTACAAAATAAATATATAAAGTATAATAGTATAAATAGTTGTATCTGTTTAATTTATTTCTGCATTTATTGTGTTTTTATACATTTGTATGTATATTTATTTATTTTCATATTTACTTTTTGTTTTGGGAAATGGGAGATGTGTATAGATTTGGCAAATCAATAGGTGTTTGAAATGTAACAATGTCTATAACTACAAAAGTTCTATATGAAAAACCATTATTTGTAGCAGCCCAGGTATTGGAGATATTTTGTGTGAATCACACTTTTCTTATTTACCTTATGGTATGCTGACATACAGTATATACATACCAATACACAGAGGTTGTATACATTTATTCCTTTCAGGATCCCATTTAAAAAAACTTGTAACATTTTGATCCAAAACATTTTTTACAAGTCATCTGAAGGAATGTAACATTTGTAACGTTTACAAAACTACAACAAAAAATTACTGATCAACTTTAGCGTATTTAACTTTCCTTTTTTTGTGAACTTTTTTTATTATTTTAAAAGAGAAACAGATACATTAGTCCAATAAAGGTAAAAGGGGTATATTACAACCTAATACAACAGAGAGGAACACATAGAAAAAAAAAAAAAAACAACAGGCGGCGGCAACAACGACGACCCCCCCCACCGTGTTCCTCTTCAGTACATGCTGAACTCAAACCCACCCATGATTGCCTCTGTAAGAACATTTTCAAAATCATGGTAGGTAACACAATGGCGCGTTAGAAATGTAATTGCAACTGCACAGGCATTCACAGTTGGGTAACACTTCCTGTGTGGTCCATAGCGGGACTCACAGTCATGGTCAAAGTTAATGATGATTTTGAATGCCTCCTTTTCGGACTCAATCAGTGGTACATGTGCCTGCCCAGTTGCCCACTGAAAGAATGTTCTGACCGACTGATGTTCCCTTCCAGTTGTACCAGGGTTAGGCAATAAATACAATCAATTTTGCATGTCTCTCCCATACATGTGCGCGCACATACACACCCCTGTTTGAAACAGAAAGACAACAGAACCCAGTAAAACCAATAATCCAGTTCAAACATTTAAGAGTTGGTGAATTCATAATTGCATGCATCTAAAGATAAAAATTGTTGTAGCTAGTTTAGCTTATCAGTGCTGTGAAATTAAAGGAATAGTACACCCAAAACATGATTAGCCTTCATTTTCTACTCACCTCCATGCTGAACAACACTCTGGAGTACTTTTTTGATGAAAATGGAGGCTAATCATGTTTTGGGTGTACTATTCCTTTAAGTTATATTTTGTCCTTTTGCAGTTTTCCAAACACCAGGAGATTAACATTTTAGTGCCTTTTTTTTCCCGATTTGCCCTCCGAGATTGAACAATCCTACAAAAATCAGCAACAATATCTTATGAGGTCTTGAAGAAAGCTCATGGCAAAAACTGGCCAACTATCATGTCAACTGCTAGACCTAAAGATCAATAGCTAACAGTTGATAAATAGTAAAATTAAAAAAAAGGAGTGTTTAGTGTCTTTATGGTGTACGAAGGACAAAAGTGGAGAATATTAATATCGGAGAACAAGGAAAAAAGTTGCTATAAGAGCAAAGAGAGGTACACAGAAAATGTAAATACATGTTGCTGCAAACTTCTGCAAATTCAACTAACATCAAAAAATGTAGACCTTTACCTTTGTCTTCCAAATTTTGCAAGAAATCTTGCAGAAAGTTGATGACCTGCATCTCTCGTTCCCGTCTTACAGACACTTCCTCACTGAAGTTGGGTGAAAGAGCCAATATGAGGAAGTCAGCATCCACCTTTATAAGTATAGAAATGACATTAACATAGTGATAAAAACAAAACACCACTTAAAAAAATGAAATATGTTTTTTTTAAATTAATGCAGACTTGGGGAAAAAAGGGGAATTGCTGTTATGAAAACATATCTAATAAAATATCCCCACTGTGAAAGAAAATATGCAATGTCTCCCGCAGTTCTATAACTGAGTGAGTGCTCCAGTAGAACCCACCAAAAACCTATTAAGCTATTAATACTTTAAAAGCAATTACTGCCTTGATAAATTGTTTGTAAATAATGTGAAGAATAGTAAAATATTATTTCCCTTAGGGTTTTCCATCAGACATGCTCCAAGTGTCATTGTCACTGTACAGTAAGGTGACCAGATTTCTGAAATCAAATCTGGGGACATTTCNCTAAATTTTCCCTACTTCTTTCCATTCTGTCAAAGGCCTCTTTTCTTATTGTTATCTTTAAAATAAAACCCACGGAAATATAATTCTTTAAAATAATACAAAGTATTGTTAATTGTATATATTTTTACCATCATAATGGGAAGGCAAGGGAACCTACTTCTATCAACAACTAATCCAGGTCATAAAGGTCTGAGCCTGATCTACAGGCTAGTCCTAGGCATACTGGGCCAGGGGGTGATCGGTCCAGGCAGGCAGGTTGGACAGTTTCTCCTCAGTGGCTGGTTTGATGGGCCATCCCCAGGCTTTGAAGAATCCGCTCAGGTTCATATCTGCCGCTTTGGAGAAAGTCTCGGCGTAGAGGTTCATCTTTCCTTCCTTGTCTCTGGGAACGTTGGTCATGTCATGGTACTGAGCAAACACTTGCTTAAAGACAGCCCAGCCAAACTTTTCCTGAAGCTACAAAGAAGAAAAGATCATGTAGATTTGATCATAAAGCTGAAGCATTGTTGCTGTGCTGCTTTTTAAGCTGCTTTTTATTTGTAAGTAAATCGATCACCTAGGATAAAAAGTAGTGAGAAAAAAAAGCAAGTGATTTTCTTTGGTAATTTATGTGATTCTGTTCATTATCTAATTAACATGTGACCCTAACCCTTGGTGGTGAAGCAAAGACAAGACTGATACCCCCAATGCGACAGCCATATTGTTCATTTTTTAGTAACATTACTAATTTACCAACTGGATTAGTAACATGCAGCCCCAGTTTTATGCTTTAAATCTATTACTATTAATCATAATGGATTCATTTTTTATCTAACCTGAAGGTATGTTTCCAGTGCCACCCACACCGACCAGCTGCTGAGGTTCCTGCCTTCTTCAATGTACTTCTCTATGCGGTCCTTACGTTTTTGTGGTTTAAGGGACCTACAAACCTGGAGTAAAGACATGCATTTGATCTTAGATGAAGACAACAAAAGTTCCCACTGTAAATAAGGTAAACATTACATGACAATTACTGGATTCCTGTTTGTTGTAAAATGTAAATCCTCTGTAAAGACAGTTTCAGACAAGAGAATTTCAACAATTACTTCATCATATTGTGAAGAGTTCCCTTTGACTTTACCATGATATCCTAATAGTTTTCTCAAGATAACTGTTGGGCTTTTCTCTAAAATGATTTAATTGCAATCTGAAAGTCGGTCAGTAAAAGTAAAGCCTTGATCACACTGCAAGATAATCGTGGTCATTTTTGCACAATCTTTCTTTTTCTTTGGAAATAACTCCCCAGTTATTGAAATGGCTCTTAAGATAATCCTATTAGATAATCCATAAAGGTATAGTGGAGGATTTTCATTAATTTTTCAAAAGACTCGCCCTCTGCACTTTAAAAAAAATGCACATGCACAACCTTGTACCTTCTCCTGAGAAAGAACGTCTATTAAACGCGTATGAAAGCATGCATGAGCCCGTTTTTCCTTGTGCACGCTTTAAAAGTTGCTGTTTGCATAGCTCATACAAACTTACTTTCAACAGATTTGCAATTTCTCCGCCACATCAGACTCACCACCGTGTTATGCCGAGAAACGCGTGCTTGCAGAGAATTACCTCCCCTGTTGCAGGAGGGTGCATTGCCTTAAACTCTTGCACACGAATGAGAAAATGGATTGAAATATGAATGAAAAATTTTACTTTTAAACATATTCTTAATAATCTATTAGAAATTCTATAGAATGCTGTTCATAGCAAAAGCGGGAAATGCTATCCACTTAGCAGAGAATATATTCATCGGACATTGACTGGCACATCGACTAAAACGCGTCTCTATGCAAGTAAAAATCATATTCCTTTGAATATATCTGTCCACCAAATCTCTCAATTTTAGGACATAAGAAATATGAAAAAAATATGAAATTCAGACTCCATATTTTCCTGACTCTACATGTAGCCTTATGAACTTTACTTATGAAACGTTAGGGCTGGCAGTGGGAGGTGTGGATACTTTCCCAATGCTGCAATGGCAAAATGGAGTCAAATAGGAGAAGATTTTGTGTAACTTTAATATCAATACTAAGTGCAGTATAACTTTACAAAAAATTCTTATGGAGAGGCTAGTTCTGGAATTTTGTTTTTAAGTCAATAAAGGTATTTATTTTGGAATTTAAGCAACGTATAACCCACTCTGTATGCCTATTTAAACAGCCACCTTGTAATAACATTAGGAGACAGAGCTTATGTGTTAATGGGACTTTAGAGAACAAAGCGTTTGTGGACAGGTTTGTAATAAAAAAAAAGTAACCTCTGCTCTGCCGAGTCCCAGCACCTCCTCGTGTACGTAGACAGACCACAAGTTACATGTGGCCTCTGATGTGTGGGATGGAAACTCCCAGGGGCTTCTCTGTTGGTTGTGTCCCAGTTCATGAATTTCTCCCCACAGACCTTTGGTCCAGGCACCATCTGGCTTGAACAATTGAGCTCCAGCTGAAGGCATCATCATGATGGGATAGCCTGAATGCAAAAAACCTGGAAAGAGGAAGCACCAGTCAGCTCTTGTGTAAATGTCAGTAATATAAAACGGATTTAAAGCTTTCCCTTTCATCAAATCCTGCTTTACTAACAGCAATGGGGTTGCTGTTTATTATGATTATTCTACTCCCAAATTCATTTTCTTAATTTAATGTTTTTTGAGTTATAAGAGATGGCTAATTGGAGGGTATAGATAAAGACTCAGGGATGATCCTTTATGTAGCACAGATACTAGGTAAACCTCTTTGTTAGCCTCGAATGTAAAACTAAGAATTTGTATTTATTTTAGGGTAAGTTTACTATAAGTTCTTAAAAATTAGATATTAATATTTTATTAGGAAATCTGTTTAGATTTCTTTATTTTTAGGTACTTTTCTTTCCCTTGATTACAAGACTTTCCCCAACTTAACTACATCTGCCGTGTCATCCATCTTAAATATACAAATACATCAAATAGATTTAGTTTTTTTTCACAATGTCTTTTTTTATTTAAACAGACTACTGTCTGCTTACACAAAGCAAAGCTTGGGGGTTGGGTCAAACAAAGCGGAGTAAACTAAAACATCATTGCCTTTCATGCTTGTTGTATCAGGCATCATAGCGTCCATTTCCAGATCAAACTGAAAATTTTACCAGCTAGATAATAATAATAATGATAATCATAATAAAAATAACAAAAATAGTATAACAATACGCCTATTATTATCAGAGTAAGATATTGAGGCTGTAGAATCCCTAATCCCTATGGTCTAATGTAATTCCTTGGAAAGGTGGAGCGCACATCAGCTGAGCTAAATAAAAGAAAGACCCCATAAAATAAAAATGTTACGTGTCAAACAGCATAATAGGCTAGTATCCGTAAAATATATAAATAAGTTAAATATGTTATTGTACAATTTTTGATATCATAGGCCATCAAGTGATTAAAAAAAAATAGAAAAACATTTAAGGCAACAATAATAAACTCAGCCAAAGCTGGGACAGAACCCTCAACCTTTTGCACTGCAGACCATTCACTCTACCCACTACGCTATCAGCTCTGAAAACATAGCATCATGGGACGCCGAAATGGACTCAGACTGCCACCTAGTGGCTATAGTAGTCACATGTTTTTCACGCAATTCGTGAAACACGGAGAGCGTGAGTGAAGTGTCCATTTCCAACCAGGACCCACTGTAACCAATTAAAAAACAGCGGGGTCAGAATAAAGAAAATCATCAACCTGTAAAGGGTCTGAGACATTTTTAATTATAATCTGTTAATTTAAACAGAATTTAACACTGAAATAAAATGCAATTGTTTATGCATCCATGTTATACATTGATTTTTTTTTAAATGAAAAATATAAGAAATAGAAAGTTTTTCCATTTTAAAATCTAAATTGTTTTTGAAATAAAGAACAACAATCTTTCAGTTTGGTATATAGACAATTTCCTGGTTCACTTTTCTTTTATAAAACACCTGAACTGACAGTTTTTTTTTTCTTTCTTTTTTCTAGCTTAATAAGAAAAGTTGGCTTTAAGCTGACCTGCAAGACTTTAAACCTGCGTTTGAATGGAGACAAAGCCATTCTCAAGCACATATCAAAGTGCTCATTCGTGAGCCTCGATCGATATTTATTTTTTATTCTGGTCATGGTGGAGATTCCTGCTTCACAGCAGCAGGTTGAGCCAAACATCCTCTAAATGTGCAGGGTCATCTTTGAGCACGCCATTTCGCTTTTCTTTCACTTATTCACCACAGTTCTTCCAGCAGTCCACACTTTCTCTGCTCTCTTTTTCTCATCATCTTCTCCTTCTTTCCCATCGCCCGGCTTGCCACCAGTTTACCTGCTGTGTCTAAAAGTAGCAGCAGCAGCAACTCAGACTGACAGCTCATTGGCTAATTTCTATCACGTGCAGCCTGGAGGCGGATGCTCCAGATGGCTTTAACATACAAACAGGAGAAGCGGCGCAAGTAAAGTTAGACACTGTCGTTGGACAACATGCAGTAATTTACAAAAATTTTAAATCAGGTTGGATCCACTAATCCGTGACCTCTGCCCTATGGATTTGAATTTTTTTATTATTATGTTATTAGCTAATTCATATTGCTTTTCCGTACCAATAGAAATCTGCACATCAACCACAAAGCGCTCTTTGGGGGTGAATTTTTGTGGAATGACAGCCAGATCGGCAACAGCTTTCATGATGTCATTCCAGAGCTTTTCGGCTTCCAGAGGGATCTCTAGCTGACGAATCCTCCCTGACGGTACGGTGAAGATGACGTTGTCGAACTCGATCTCTGCCCACGGTGCAGGTGCTTGGCGCACAGAGGACCAATCAGCAGCCGTTGTTACCCCTAAGGTAAAGCAAAGATAAATTTGTGATAAATATGCAAATAGAATCTATACAAGTAAAACAAAACAACAATTACACATCAAAAATGCATCTGTCAAGACATAACTGTCACTCTAAAAAGTTATCTACTCTTATGATCCATTTCATATTTTTAGTTCTTCTTTATTTGATCTTGAAGGAAGAAATTGTCTCTAGTGCGAATCCAAATTTTCCCAAATAAGCTTCAAAGATGAAAAAGTTGTTTTGCTGATTTCTAATGTTCCAGTAATAGATGTTGCCCTATCAGACCATTTTTCTGTTTACTTTGAAGCCATCTTCCAACAGATCTGAGAAGAAATGTTATAAAAAGGGTGTTATCATGTACAGCACAATTAATAACTTTGGCCAGGCCTATCCTTCTGCTTCCACTTTACCCTTTAACTCAGTAGATGAGCTAGTTGATAATTTCCATCCTAAAGCTGCAGACATTGATTCCAGGGCTCCAGTTAATGTGAAAGATGAAATCTCCACGAAGAAATACTCAAAACTATGAAATCTATAAAGAGAAATTTCACACATATTATTTATGAATAAAAGATGCAAGAGAATCTTTCTACCCTGAGATTATCAACAAAAACATCAACAAGGCTTGCATCTTATTGTTTTTTTTTCAACTTTCTTATTGTCATGACACTGTCACAAGTACAGAGCAACAAAATGAACTCAATATTTAACCCATCCCCTTGGAGAGCAGTGGGCTGCTATTGTGCGGCGCCCAGGGAGCAGTGTGGGTTAAAGGAGTTGCTCAGGGACCCAGGGTGTCAGTCTGTGGGAATAGGGCTTGAAGTCAGGACCTTTGGATTCCAAGCACAATGCCCTAACCACTCGGCCACACCTCCCTTATCTGCCTTAGTCGACAGGTTGTCACAGTCTTGGTTTTGTTATGTTTATTTAGAGTATTCAGCTTTACTTTGCTTCTTGTTTTAGTGTTTAATTATTATTTTCTTGTTAGTTCCTGTCTTCCAGGTTTT